ACTAATTTTGTTATCTACTAAAGAATTTCGGTAACCTCTAGATCTGTTAGCTGGTCTTTTAGTGTCCGAGTTACACCGATATGTGTAAATACTGCATCAGTTTTAAATAGAAATATTAATGGTTTGGTATCGTGTTTTACACTTTCTAAAATACCACAAAAATGTTCTTTTCACGTTGGTTTTGAAGTAGACGAAAAAAGGTAGTTAGACTGAAAACCCACGTGTTAATTAACATCTACATTCCGTTCATTGAAACCTTCGTGGGATGTTTTTGCTGCCAAGACAGTGTTTCGAATATTTATATAAGTATTATTAGTATTATTATCTGCTGCTTCCAAAGGGTCTTGACTGAAAAAAAGCACTGATAGTTTGATAAAACGAATTCTGACCTAACAACTAATTGCTTGTTTTCCAATCCACGTACCAGTAATTCCCAGGTGTCTGCTGGAAGAGGTCTCATCCTTTCTGGCTGAAAAAGGAATTCCCGGATCAAGGAACGTTACTTCGCATACTCCACGCTGCCGACTCGACCACAGTTTCGATTGCCATCAACTATGGCCAGCACTAGGTTTGTCATGGCGGGCAGACAGTCAAGGCCGCATGATGGAGAACACACTGACCAAAGGCAAACCTAAGTGTCCGTTGAAGAGAGGTAGGGCTTGGATGAATAGAAGGGTGACATCTTAATTTAAAAGTCGTTTTTAAAAGGGTTATGGCGTTTTAAACAAGTTAAGAGCCGCTTTTGACTCTTATTGAATTAGGTTGTAAGTCTTCTGGGTTATTATCTTTTTGCAATCAAGTTTTAAAGTTTTGATAAGACTAGGCTTATTCTTGTAATTAGTTTTTTTTAATTTGACAACAATGAAGTTTTAAATTAGGTTTTATTGAAACGAGATTTCCAGAAAAATTTAAAAAGATTAATTAAAATATTTGTTAGACGTATTTGAATATTCTTTAGAATATTTGCGACGCAATTAAACTTTGTCATTATCTTATCATATAATTCTAGTTTCTGTGAACAAAGTTTCAGTATCTGTTTTGGCCGATATGCCCTGTTGTGACATAAGGGACACGAAACATACTTATGCGGTCTTGTACCTTTGACTTTAGTTTCTAGGAAAGCTCTTGTGTGCGTCCCTGGGGAAAAGATATTTCATTGCAAGCGAAGAACCACTCTTTCTTTTTTGGACATCAAGCTGAGTCGCAGCGCAGCTCCTGGCCACAGGTGTCATCATCGGGGAAGAAACGAAGACAACAGCACATTACCCAATGATCATCGCTGCAATGCAACCAAAGTGATCGGAAAAATCCTCAAACGTTGCCAGGGGAGACGGGAATGTTGGATCAACCTCAGTGAACGATTCCTCGGGAAGGCGTGCGTTAGGGAAGTGAAATTCCTTCTGGTTAATTTCACTTGTGATCAGAGTAAGTCGTTTCTTAGGTCTACTTTGATTTACAAAATTATTTTTTCTAAAACGTATCGCAAACATGTCATTAATAACTTTTGAATTTCAAGTTAATCAAATATTCTCTCAACTTAAAGAAAGTTTTGTACAGTGATATGATTAAGGGGAAATTTTAGTGTCTCCCATGTTTGGTGCTCAGTGAGCTTAGGTCAACAGACTATACGTATTTCCTTCCGCGCTTGGAAACACATGTGTTGGTTTCCTATTGTTCTCTATTCTGTAAGATTTCCACTCTTCATTTAACTGGTGTATTACAAACACTGAAATAACATGACATGTAAAACAACACAGGAGATATCAACATGACTGAAGAATCAGAAATCAAAGAAGATCTAATGTACAGGCGATGGGATGACATGGATCATATCTGCACCGACGACGACAGTGAAGATACTAACGACGACGTAGACTTCGATGATGACGATGATGGCATTCGCAGCAGTGGTGACAGTGGCATGGACTCTGAAAGAGATGATTATGACGGCAGTGGTGATTTCAATGATGATGACAACGACGATGATGACTACCTTCTAGATGAAAATGATGACGATGTTGAAGACACTTTCGAGGACGATGTCGTCCGGCGCTTCCAGTCCATGGATATCGTGAGCTCTAGCAACTTGTTGAATGGAATGCGCCGTGGAGTGAAGCGTGGACGGCAACATTGCCCGCGCGTTAACTGGCTTAAAGAGCCTGACTTGTACAAGGAATTCGATTTTAACCCACCTTCAGGTAAGGCTTATAAGCTATCTCTCAAGGAAACGTATTAGCCCAAGGTCAAACTTCGAACTTCACATGAGACAAGCTAAACTGAGCGAATTAAGTTCATGATACCGGTTCGACGTTTGACTCAGCTGAGTTCGTCCGACTGAATTGAGATCGACCAACAAGTTCTATCGGTCTGCTTCAGACGGATAAGTTCGACTTACCCAACGGCCGAGATTTACGAGTTTGGATCGACTCAAATTGCAAATTAGTTTGTCTCATGTAGAGTTCGACGTTTGACCTAGGCCTTAGATACCAACTGAATAAAGTGGTGTTTATTTTCGTAGCAAGAGCTCTTAAATTCCAATTAAGAACAACAACGTGATGTATCTGGCTAGCTTTGGTTTTACGATATTGAAACATAAGAGGTTTTCGTTGTCTATACTGATTCTCTTCTTATTTCGTAGTTTGTCCAAAGAATGAACCAATACAGTCGAAATGCAGCCCAAACCTATGCAAACTTGTCAAGTGTGAAGATAGTAAAAACGTCAGCTGTAGAGTCAATCCATGTGGTTCCTGCAGACCAGAGTGCTATGACGTCAAAGGAAACCGAGTACAAAGTCCACGCGGTTAGTAATATCCATCATAATATTCCTCAGCCTGTTTTTTGGGATATTTTTTTAGCCTTGGACCTGGTATTTTTACGCACACAATCCTCATCAAATGTTACCTGTTTGACCGTATGCTACATTTCCCGTGTGTGCTTTTTCAGTAAAAGGAAAAATAGTTTATTACCTTAACCATTTCAACACAACTCTTACAAAACAACTTTGACATTGACATTAACGACCTTAATCCTGAGAATGATGCTTGATTTTTCGGCATCGAAACGTCGATTGACATTACTTTGAATCTTTATTGTCAAATACTTTAACAAGCAACTCTTTGTCCGATGATCTTACTGGCTGTTATTTTGTGCATTGTTAGTGCAACATGGTGAGGCAATCAACTAATAATGCGCCTTTCCTGTTGTAAGCGATATTTAGAGCAACAAATCGAAACTGTGTCGAGCATGTGTACCTTCCTTATGTGCCATTCACATGTAACTGACTAACGCACCGCCATGCGTAACATGCCCAGATAGGTGCACTGGCTTTAACTAGCGGTGGTCTTGTGCAGCCATGAAATGTTTCTGCTTCATTTTGCAGCCTTAACAAAGTGTGAGAACAAACGCCTGGAAATCAAATACCGACACTCTGATGAAATAAGCGTTGTTCCGAGATGCAATAAAGATGGTAGCTTTGCTGAGATTCAATGTAGTCCAAGGGTGAACAAATGCTGGTGTGTTAATGAACATGGAAGAGAAAGGAATGGTACTAGGCAAACGGGAAAACCAACAAATTGCAAAGCCTCGGGTCCAGGTAAGAGATATTTCGTCATTGTTACTGATCACCTGAGGTTTTTTAATCACTTTTATAAGGAGTGTCAAGTTGTTCTGTGATAGATTTAACGGAAATCTCAAACGTTTCCTAAGTTGATCAATCAGCAACATAAACTTTTCTTTTTCATTTCCTATCGTGTTTTGCTTCGTTTCAAGGAATTGAAATGGCTAACTACGCGATGAATGCTTGTAAACTGACCAATCTGCTGAATATGTTGGATTACAAGCAAAATTATTTTATCGTTACAGTTCTGTCTTCATGTCAGTCATCCGTGCAAAACATCAAGAACCTTAAGAAGCACTTGAGGAAGATGGCGGTAAACTACAACGAGACAGCAAAGACCTTGAAATCCAAAGCTGAAAACATGACCCAATGGATACAACAACAACCCAATCAACAGCAAAACCAAAGCGGGCGTTACCACAAACGATACATCAGATATCAAGCAAACCGGGCAAGAATGTGCCGCGTGGTAGCAAGAAAGACAATGAAGATGGTGAAGCACATCGCTGAGCCTAAATGCGATGTAGACGGGAATTACGAAAGAATCCAGTGTGAATCGTCAGGGAAGTGGTGTTGGTGCGTCAATGAAAACGGAAGGAGAGTAGGATCGATGAAACCGCTAAAAAAGCTAAACTGCTCCCGCTCTGATAAAGGTAGGAATCAATCTTTGACGAAAATATATTTTCGGATAGAATTGTTGCATCTCAGTGGCGATTATGGTCGGAGAATTACACACCATTTAAGCCAAAACCAGTGGTCAAATCAGGCGAGGATCCTACGTTAAAACATGGACCGTCTTGAGCGTTTATGCTCCGGTAATTTCAGTCAGCGCATTCTGCGAAGAGAGAGAAAAAAAGCAAAACCGCCGAGGTGACCGGTAACAAAGCTAAGACCCATAACAAAATCAACCCACATATGACACTAGGTCCAGAATTCAAGCCCGATTCGCCCACTTTGGTGGGAAGGGAGCGCTCATACCCTGCTCTCCAGATTCCCAAACTGTGTTATATTTTTTACACAATATTAACACGAGTATTAATTTTTTCAGGAAGACAAAAACTTTGCCCTTCTGTGTCTAGCTTTGGATCAGGCGTGGCACAAAATAGACCAAGGCCATGCAGAAACGACAATGACTGTTCTGACTCTAAAGTATGTTGCAAGACTAGCCAAAGCGGAGAGCGAGGTTGCGTGGATCCGCCTCCAGAGATGCCAGACAGTAGGTTAAAGCTTGATGGATAAGAATAACTTGGAAGAGAAAAAAATTATTCTGTATGTGAATGTATCTGATGATTCACAAAGACGAAATTAGCGCAACACTCTGAGAACTGGCTGGAAACACGTCGCAGGATCTCAGTTGGGAAAACTTTGTTGAGCCTAAGAGGGTTAGCTGGTCAAAATAACATAAATTAAATCTTTCCTAGAGGATGGTGTCGTTGTGTTTTCTCGTTTTCATCTCTTTATGATTGGAAGTAAAATCATCGAAATATTTATCACAGTTACATGGCATATTAGGCGTTTTGTCTCGCGTTTTAAAAATTCGTTAGCGTATAATAAATTCTGAGACCTTATGTGCCACTTGGCAGAGGTGTACAGGGAGGTAACAGGTATAATAAATGTTTTCTTCGTTGTAGTCAAACCGGGAAAGTGTCCCGAGATGCCTAATTCCATCAACTACTCCTGTCCATCCAAATGCAAGACCGATGCAGACTGCCGAGGGGACATGAAGTGCTGTGGAATGGGATGCGGCAAGAGATGCATTCCTGCCAACAAGCCCGGTAAGAGTGGACGTCTTTTGTGTTTAACATGTTATGTCTCACTTCAAGAACAGTGTATGCCAAGAAGATGAAGAAAGTTGTGCGAATAAAAGACATTCTTTGTATGTGAATCATGACGAACTCATTGAATGAAATGCATATATTACTTAGGTAGTGAGATGGAACAATACAGGAGTTCAGTCACGTTATTTTCAGTTATTTTGGCCACATAAAAAATTACCTGAAAATAATAGTTTACTAGGATAGAAAACCACAAAAGAGATAATAATAAACCATAAAGGAACAATGATTACAAACGACGAACTGGAAAAAGTTAAGCTACACTTCTCAAGATGCGAACACCACGACGTAGCTCATTTATGCATAGGACTGGACAGGATAAATTATATGAAATTTGGGCATTTTTTTGTAACATTTGTAATTATATTGAAGCAGGAATGCCCACGCGTTGTTCTCTTATTTTGGCATTAATATTTTTCATTTCTAAATGGCAGTGTGCCCCAAGGGCAAGCCGTTCAAACTGTGCATATACGACAAATGCCTGTCATCTCCAGGCTGTCCCAGCCATCCATCAGCCTGTTGTCGTATGAATTACTGTGGAGGTTGCACTGCTGAATATTTCGATGAAAATGATCGCAAAATTGACTGTGCTAAAGGTAAGTACCAAAATTTTTGTATACTTTCTGCCTATAAATGTGCGGTCTCACTTTAGGTGCGAAAATAGTCATCTCACGATGTTTCTTATAATTATATTTAAGCAATTTTAAAATCTCCAAACGAAGCTATTTATTGTCGATTCTATGATCGTCTCTTGCTTATGATGAATCTAAGGGTTTTTTTTCGAAAAGAATGACAAATTGGTATACTTTGAATTTTGTAGCAACCCAATGCCAGAAGCAGAGACATGCGGCGACAGAAAATTATAAAAGGAAGTTTCTTCAAGTCTATGGTAAAATGCCACTTGGCGTTCCAGGATCTCCTCAAGAAAGAAATGGAACTGGGAAAGGTGAGAGACAACGAGGCAACCAGGGAGGAAGGCAAGAGGACAACCAACGTGGGCGACAATGGAATGGTAATGGAAATGGTCAGGGCGGAATGCCAGGTGGAGATAGCAGAGGAGGACACGATGATGGTCAAAGTGGCGCACCAGGTGACCCTCAACAAGGAGGAAATGGAGGAAATCAGGGTGGGACTCAAAGTGGAGTCCACAGTGGAGCTCCACATAGCAGTCGAAGTAGTTCAGATGGAAGCCAACGTGCTGGAGGAGATAGGAGTGGCCATGGCCAAGGCTCTGGGGGAGATCGCAGTGACAGCAGAGAAAGGAACGATGGTAGAAACGCTGGAGGACAAAATGAACGAGATAGTGGGCGTGGCCATCAAAACCAAGACCAAAGAAGGTGTCTAAAGGGGTGTTATCATGAACATGACCTTTTAAAGTCAAAACTCAAATATATATATTTTCATTGATGCCAACCTAAATATAATGGTTTAGTTTTACTAAAATTTTTATATAAGTGCACTCAAGTGGTGTTCCAATGAGAGAAATGAGTTACGCCTGCATAAGGTTGTGATGCCAAATTGAAAAGTCTGACAGACCTTTTCAAATTCTGAAATTTCAAATTTATTTCCTTTTTAACGGTTCAGTTAATATCTTCATCTTGTTGTTGTTGCTGTTGGAGAATTTGGTATACGAGCGAGAAAATGTTTTTTATTATGGGAAAACCCCGTTGGATTGATATAAATGACCCCATAAATACATACAAGAGTAATTGATTCTGTTAATGGCGAGTGACAAAAAGTGAGCACCACTCAATTAAAAAACACAAATTATGGCAGTGAAAAAGAAAGAAACAACAGTTTAATGAAAATGATCCAGTCCCTGATTCCAATGAAAACGGTTAAATTTGCAGGCAGCCGGATCTTGGTGTATTCATTCCAGAGTGTAATCCGAAAGATGGAGCCTTCTTAGTGGAGCAGTGCAACATTACTGCTGGTGTGTGCTGGTGTGTCGATGAAAAGGGGCAAGAAAAGCCCAATACGCGTGCGCGTATAAAGCCAGGAACACGAGACTGCAAGGCTGCAATAACCAAAAGCAATGAGCAAAGCAAAGGTGAGTTTTTATTCGTTATAGTCTCAGGCCAAGTTATACCGGCAAAAATTAAAAACTTTCTGCCGCATTCATAATTATAGCATGACGCCACTTTTTGTGTTGTTCGTCTGTCGTACTTACGAGGACCCACTAGCCATTCTGGGGTTAGGATCGCGTTCTGCGGGTGCGCAGATAACTGGTCAGGTAAATCTGTACTAGGAAGGTTCTCTTGCAATTTGGACAAGGAATAGTGGCGGCAGTTGGTTTGGGGACCATTTTTAAAAGACCAAACATTTTGGAAATTGTAGATAACGGCGTAATTGTTTTTAGGGTCATTTGCTTGAAGGTTTCAGAATGCTTTGGTGTAAAATTTAATTTTGACCTTTTGGTCAGTTAATCATAACCAAACCAGAATCCCTTTATAATTAGGATGGCTCGATTGATGAACACTTACTTTGATTATATGAAGAACCTTCATCCCGTAGTCAACGAAAAGAAAATGTACGAAAAAGTGTCAAATGTTTATGATTTGAGTTCCCTCGCTATAAAAGTATAAACATGCAATCATCCGCAAGAAAGCTGTAGGGTTTTCCTCCTTCCCAGTGGCATTGTGGATTGTCACCAAATAGGATACAGTGACATAAACTGGTCACGTACTAAAGCAGTAACAGAGAAACAAGAAGTTGGAACAAGAAAGGGAACCAGCCATTTCGATCTTTGTACTCTGGATTGTAACTTACGATTACTTCAAGTTTGTTAAGGAAACCGTAACCAGCTTAAGTGTAGTGTAGCTTTTTTCAATTTAACCTTTTATTTAACTTATTCATTGAAGGTGTGCATGGGCGAAAGAACAACGGCCATCAGAAAACAAAGAGGCAAGTGCTAACTGGAGTCAGTTCTTGGCTCTTTCAGTAACTTTAGTCGTCGTTCTAACTGACCCCGTCTCGTCCCGATTCTTCCACATAATTGGTCTTAAAAAGGTTCTAAATGTGGTCAAACTTTTAATGCATTATATCAGAAGCAAACTTAAACTAGCACAATCTTTCTGGTATCTTTTAAACTATCAATTTAGCGATGGGGTGACAGATTCACTTATTATAGTTGTGAGGGTTAGTTATCGTTGTTCCCATCTTTTTGGCAGATAGTTGTGCCCATTTTTGAAAATTTTACGCCTTAATGACCTGAAATGCCAGTTTGTTTAGTTATCTTCATTTGTGCATTTTGCAGAGTTGCGAAACTGAACATTAGACTGAGGGCGAATTTTGACGACATCATTGGGAAAGAAGAACAGTTTATCAAGTAATGAACTCTTTGTTACCCATATTCTCTGTAATACCAATCAGTAAAGAAAGGTATGAAGTAATACAAAAAGAGCTTCTCAAGGTTACCATGGATTCAAACATTTTCGTCCGGAGTGCAGGTGTTTTTGCGTGGTTAAAGTTGAATAATGTTGATCGCATCGTTTGGGGAGCAATCAGCTCAAGTTAAAAGAACTTAGAGAGCTGGAACGAAAGAACGTGGCGGGAAAGGAGCGGTGAGGACAAGAAATAACGCCATTTATTCCCCGCCTTTCACCGTTACTCGTCATTCAACCTAACTGCTTCTCGTTAGGATCTTTCGTTTCTCTGTTGTCATGCCTCTCTGTTTTCCGAATCCAAGATGGCGCTCGTCTGTTCACAATGCCATTGCCCGTTAAGATACACCTTCATTGCGGTTAACAAAGTTTAGAAGTGCCACGCCAAAACATCAGCAAGTGAGAAACAATACTCAGTTTTTCAACCACTATAAGAGAGCAATGTGTTGTACAGCTTTGAAAAAGTTACCCCACAGCGCATTTCTGCTATACCTGTTAATGGCCATCTTTATAATCCACCAAATATTTTCGCTCGCGCGCGATTGGTCTAAACGCGCACTAAAACTGGGGAATATCCGAGAATATTCCCCAATTTTCAAAACCGCGCGTTTTGCGAAAAATATTTGAAGGATAATAAACACAATAGCCACCATTTAGAGCGAAAGTATGCTCGGTTTTTTGTCCTTGGATATTGTCTGCTCCTCAAAGCTCACAGTTTTCCTCGAACTACGCTCTCGGGAAACTCGTCGCTTCTCGGAATACTTAGGTAATTTCCGTGGACAAATATCCGAGCATATTTCCGCGCAAATGGAGGCTATTGCTTATATAAATAGCTGGCTTTTAGCTGACACAAATAAAATTATGGCTAATGTGGTTTTACCCGCTTTCTAGCAACTTTAAAGATGAAGTGGTCAGGGTCACTAACGTCAAGAGGGAGCGAATTCAAAATGTTGAGGTAAGTGAATTTTCAGTTCCCTTGGGTGTGTTTGTTGTAGTATTTTTTTTTTTATCTCAGCTAATTATTGATTTTAACTATAAATGTTTAGCAAATAGGCCAAAGAAAATACACCAGCTGATTGGTTTAAAATCGTGTCTCTATTTAACAATTAGATTACCAGCTCGAGATTTCTATCGCGCGATAGTTGACGAGGGCACTGTCCAAGTCAACCATCACGCATAGAAATCGAGAGCGAATAATCTAATCGTTTTAGTATAAATCTACTAGTCGTTCAAAACTTTATCTAAATTCTCTTCACAGACACTTCGAAAGCGCAAAGAAGCTGCCGCCAGTTTGTTAAGCGCTCACTGCTAGGCTACTCACTATCTACAACAGAATAGATAGTGAGTAGCGTAGCAAATCAGGGAAAGGCATTCGTGATAGGATGCTATTAGATTTTTACTAAAACTCGATGGAAACACGGTACATGCTTTCTATTTCGTAATGTGTTTTGCTTTCTTCGTGTTAGTTAACTTTTTTCTATTTATTTCGAGTCAATGATCATTATTGACCATAAACTGTGACAATAACGAGTTAAAAAAAACCAAGAAACTGGCGCGTTCTCAGCCAATCACAATGAAGTAGATTTCCTTAGCCATTTGATAAAAAAATTGTTAAATATCAACTTATGCCATCAGATTTCAAGGGGAAGCATCAAAGTGCAATTCGAGATCGTCGAGGAGGAGGACTCGGCTCCACTTGAAGAAATTGTGGATAAAATGGAGACAGAGGTTTGTCTTTTTACACTTGTTTGGAGGACCCTAATATGCCTTCGCCATTTTTGATGCCATCGAACTTATTGATATTGCATGATAAAGCGAAATCTTACTACTTTACTGTAAGTTGTGTTCCTGAACTGAAGTTTGTTTAATTATCTTTAGTAGTTTTACAGTGATTTCCTTCTGTGCGACATGCTCCGAATAAAATTCAATAGTCAAACTCTCGCATGTAAACAAAAACAAAGGTGTGGCAGACTAGGGCCCTTTAAGTGTGTCCATTACTATGAATTTTGGTTGCGAGAATTTGGTCGTGCATCAAGACGATGTTTGCATGCATGATCTGTTGGCTTTACAATACATTGTCAGGTCATGCAATTTTAAGCAATTTCACAACGAATGAAGCTGGTCAAAACCCAGAAACGTCAAATTCGGAAACAAATTGGCAAGAGTACGTATAGAAAACATCAAAACGGTTGCAACTGGGCATACGTAAAGAAACGTTGGCCGAAATTCTTCAAGGCTATGTCGATTTATATAAAAGTGCCGTTGTAATGCTCAGAAATAGTCTTTGTCTGTTTTACAGACATGGTTCTGACTATAACAGGGTTTGCTTTGCCAATTTAAAGTTTAGAGGTCAATACTAACAAAAGTAAATATGATAACCCAGGCCAAAGTACCTTGACTAGTCCATTTATTGAAATGGCAGGCTAAAATCATGAGCTGATTACTTTGGTAAATTGTGGGCTTAGGGCCCATCTAAAGGAAAAAAAATGCACTTTTTCAAATGTTAATTCCTCGATTACCACAGATGTAAATGTGATTATGTAATCCACTTATGCATCAGGTGACATCCAGGGGCTTTGTGGTCAAGATGGACGACAAAGAATATCGTTCTGACGGCACATTTCACGCTGAGGTGCGCAATCCGCATAACGATGACACGGTCGACTCTGTTCACAAGCGGCAGCTGTCGTCAGTTGAGGCGATTGCCATTGGTTCCTGCGCGGCCATTTGTTTACTGGGAACAGCGGTGTTCGTCTGGAAGTTCTACGTAAGTGATAAAAATATAACCTCGAGCTCATTATTTATTGCATTGGTGGCATGTGCAGATGATGTGACTCGTTCGACTGAATTCTCCAGAATACTCAGCTTCTTTTATATCTAGTTGAAACTACATTCTTCATATGAAGCCTCGCTTAGAAAGTTTAAGGGTGGACTATTTGACTTTTGAGGGGAGTGGTTATTTTGAAAAAAAATTCCTCCAAGCATACTTGTAACAAATAAAAACTCATGCTCACGGCCACCGTGGGAAAAATTCAAAAGAAATTCATTCAAATTCAGTTACCCGAAGAAAAGGTGTTACATGGAGAAAAAATATCATGCATATACACGTTCCGAGAAAGAAATTCCTAGTGCATAAAAGAGTTTAAGAAGAGTTCGTGCCTGTACCAAATCACCCACACACACTACTTCCTCAAAAGTCACGTGGTACACCCCTTACATTAGCATTCAAGAGAGGATGAAGGAAAAGAGTTGAGCACCAATATAGACTATTCCTAAGATAATCACTCTTAAATTATTTTGAGATCACACCCTGTTTTTTTGTTTTTTTTTAAAAACGCAGAGTCTAGAAATAGCAATCCTGTGTCCAGGAGTTTGCTCACGAGGACAGCCCCAAAGGCTTAACACACATTAGGGGACTTTAGATTTGAGTACGAGTACGAGATCAAGCACGAGACAGGTCTAGGTTTCAGGCTTCACATCATCAAATCACATACTCATCTCATCCCATGAGCTTCCCTCTCTACCTAAAACCAAAACTGGAAACATCAATGGTTTGAAAATCGTACTCATACTCAATCTCGTACTCGTAGTCCACTGAATCTAAAGCTCTCTATTGTCATCCTTGATGAAAACATCATATCCACCTAACGCGCGTGGTAGCATTATCCACGACAAATATGGGTACCATGTCTAACAATAACTCGAGAGGGACAGCCTTGGAAATAACGCCTACATGGAGGATTAACTCTGTTACTCTTCATCCTCTCTTGTAGCCCCTTTAGAGTGTGCTTGTTTTAACGCTTTTTATTATATGGAGAAGAGTGTTTTACTGGGAACTAAACCACTCGTAGATTCCATACGCCACTTCATCCGGGACCCGAGTGGCGTAGTTTCCGTATGTCACCTTTGTGAGTGTCGTATCGTTCAATGACCTCACGATTCCCGCCTTTTGCTTTTGTTGAATTGGTTTCTCCATATAATAAAAAGAACATTACACGTTGGCTCGAAGATATGAATTTTATGTTCTCGTGGCAAGAACAATATCTCACTCGTTCGCTTCGCTCACTCGTGAGATATTGTTCTTGCCACAAGAACATAAAA